AACCATATCCGAGTGACCTCTCTCGACTTGAAAACAATCTTCTTGCTTGCTTTTCTTGTTTGCTTGTTTGAACCTGCACTAAAGTTTCACCGCTAAATAATCAGAATTCACTGAGTAGTCATCACATCTAGGACCCGGGTTGACATTAAAACCCAAACCCACTATACTACGCTGTAGGAAGTGGTTACACTTGGCCATTTTCTAGAGTGACAGTAGGAGTGAGTCAATCCATTAACTTCACAATCTCTGCCCAGACCACTACCTCCAAGTTAGGAGACAATCTTCGTTGTGGTTGTGTGACTGGCTTAACCTCATCCTACATCAGAACTCTGTGGGAGCAGAAGGATGGGCTAATGCCTCTGATATCAGTTATCTTCCACGCCATGGCCCGGACATACTTTTGCAGCAGAGCCACCAGCCTGTTCTTCTGCTAGGGTGTCAGATCCGAGCTGATATTGACCGGGAGCTTATTCCCCTCCCGGAGAAATGCATACTCCAGGTGAGATGGGAGGAGCTTAATCTCAAGCTCTGATGGCTCCTCCAATGATGTTGCGATCCGCGGCGAGATAGGGATCAGCTTGAATGGTTTCTCTCACCCATCGATCGCGGCCTCGTCTAGCTCCGCGAGCTGCTCCTCTAGCTGCAACTCCTGTGATGCCTGTTCCCCTAGCAAAAGACAACGCTCGAGGAGATCGTCAGTACCCGCACTCGTGATGGCGAGTGTGATCTCAAAATCAGCAATAACATCACAATAGTCTAGATCATCATGAAGCTGGGGGTGAATATTGTTAGAAACAGGGAAGGTGATTTGTTCACCCCCAACCCTCAAAATCAACTTTCCATCATTTACATCAATAAGTGTCTTGGCGGTGGCGAGAAAAGGTCTACCCGGTATTAAAGGCACATCTACATCCTCATTTATATCAAGAATCACAAAATCAACAAGATATGAGAATGGCACTACTACGACTATCAAGTCTTCTGCAATGCCCCTAGGATGCACAATGGATCTATCAGCAAGTTGAATGATCATCCTAGTGTTACTGGGTTCACCTAGTCCTAGCTTTTTAAATAGTTTATAAGGCATGAAGTTTATGCTAGCGCTAAATCCGCCAATGACTTTCCTATATGCAAACTACCAATCATGCAATGGATAGTAAAACTCCCTGGGTCTTTGCGCTTCTCTAGTAGCTTGTTCTGTAGGATGGCAGAACACTCCTCGTTGAGCATCACCGTTGACAGCTCCCCAAGCTTCCTCTTGTTGGTGAGGAGATCCTTAATGAACTTAGCATACTTGGGCATCTTTGATAATGCCTCTACGAAGGGCATACTGATGTTTACCTGCTTCAGCATTGTCATGAACTTGGCAAACTCAGTCTCCAATCGGTCTTTGTGCAACCGAGTAGGAAAGGGAAGTTGCAGTACATACTCCTTCACCACAGGTTGTGGCTTAGGAACAGGCACCTCAACCTCCTTCTCCATTTCCTCGTCATTAGCTGGAAGTACTGAAGTAGGGGTCTCTCTCTCTTGTGCTCGGACAGGTGGGTCAGTAGTCACTTTGCCACTCCTGGTAGTAATGGCCTTGCATTGCTCATTTGGGTCCTCCGGATGAGGGATGGTTAGACTGGGTAAAGTACCAGGAGTCCTCTAGGCTATAGCTTGTGCCACACTCCCAAGGTAGGTCTGGATATCCCGCAGCACAGCCTGCGTGTTTCTTTGGCCAACTTCTAGCTCCAAGAATTTACCTGAAGCTTTATTCATGAACTGCTCGATATTACTGAACTTGTTTGCACTGAAGGTGGCCAGAGAACCCACCAAATCTCGCAAATCGGCCATCGGATCACTCTATACTAGAGCTCACACGGGCAGACTGGGATGCTATTTGGAGTGGATTTCTCACCATTGGAGCCCAGATTGCATCCCCAGAAGTGAAGATCGACATCCCAGAGCAGATTATCCTCATATTTATGAGTATGACTACTCTGATTTCTGTTTTCCTCTCTCTCTCTCTCTCTCTCTCTCTATGGAGTATAGCTTTCTCTCACTTGGGTATAAAGAACCCTAGTTCCATGTGTTAGGAATCTTGATTGTAATGACTGTGGATTGATATACTGATTGAATTTAATCGATTGATGCATGATTTATTGAGTCAATTGACGCCTGATCATATTTTCTTGATTTCTGCTGCAACCTGAGATAGATAGAATCTGATTAGGTTGTTAGAGCTTCATCAATCAGTAGTGGTTGATTGGTTATACGAGAGTTAATCGATTTACTGCTTTGTACTTGAATTCAATTCCAGTAGTGGAGTTATGTGTTTATTTCCTCAGCAGTCTATCCAGGTGAAGGCTAGTTGCCTACCGGTTAGTCTGTCTGAGAGGGCTTGGTGAGCTTAAGAGATTTCAAGCTACTGTCGGATCTTCCGCAGTTTAATCAACAGTTAATCAACCCTGGGTAATTACAACCTTGACCTAACTAAGGGGCTAGGGGGACTCATTCCCGAGTTACTCTTCCCTTGCTAAAGAACTTTGAACCATTTCCTGCTTTCTTACTACTTTTACTTAAAATTACAATCACTCGACTTAGTTTGCTAGATAATAGATAATCCCGGAGTAGGCAGTAGATCTAGACCCCGGGTTGACAAATAGAGCTTGCCACTTTACTGCGTTTCCAGACTGCGATTACACTTGGTCGCAGGTGTTGTGTTTTAGCGTGTCAAGTTTTTGGCGCCGTTGCCACCTAGTCGTCTGATTTGGTGCAGGTGGTATCGAAACTGGTTTCAGCCATCGATCATTCTGGAATGATTTCAGGTACAGGATAGCTGCAGGCGATGCACTGCCAGTGGTGTGAAAGTTCCAATAAACCGTGGAGGACTGTTAGGCAATGAGGGAGTCATCTACTCCTAGGAGCAGGTGGACTTCATCGGCAATGCCAGGCATGTCGACCCCTACAGCAACACTTACAACGAGTGGTGGCGCCAGCATCCCAACTTCTCCTGGGTTGGGGCCAATCTTAGACCACCAGTCTCCCAGGGACCGCCAGGCTTCCAGAGGCCTCCTTACCAGCCTAGTTAAGGGCAATTTCAGCAGCAGCCTCCTCTTTACTCCCCCCCCCCCCTCCCCAGACAGGGGCCAGTTCCTCCTCAGTCACAAGTGCGGTTATTTCAATAGTCAGGTGCAGTCCCCGGGGTCTAGATCTACTTCATACTCCGTGATTATCTATTATCTAGCAAACTAAGTCGAGTGATTGTGATTTTAAGTAATACCAGTAAGAAAGCAGGAAATGGTTCAAAGTTCTTTAGCAAGGGAAGAGTCTCTCGGGAATGAGTCACCCTAGCTCCTTAGTCGGTGATCAACGACTGACCTAGAGAAGATTCTAATGCCACATGTTGGATTGTGTGGAAAGAGAGGGGCCAAAGGATTTTTAATCAAGAGTCGTGTTCATCCTTTGTTGTTTCACAGAAATCCTGCGTAACATCTTGCTCTGGATCGTGGCTCATGGCAAAGTTGATAGAGGCAGGGCATTGCAAATGTTCAAGGACTGCTTTTTTAGCGTACAAGGTGGCGGCACATATTCAAGGACTGCTTTTTTAGCGGACAAGGTGGCGGCACTTGGTCGTGATACGCTTACCCTGTTCGGCTACCCAATTGCTTGGTTTTCAGCATGTGAATCTCTAGGTGATCCACTCTTGAGTTTTTTAGTTGTTTTTTGGGGTCTGGTTTTTGTTCTTCCTCTGTATCCTTTTCAGACCAGACCGGCTTCGGTTGCTTGCTTTGTGGAGCTTGCTTTTGGACTGGGTTCCGCCTCTTTTCTTTGTTGTTCTTTCTGCTCACTCTCACTGCTTGTGGAGTGCAGCCTTTGTTTCTTTTCTTATTTTATCAATAAATATAACCTTTTCCTGACGAAAATATTGTCCGCTTTGGGTCTCGACCCTCACTGTTTTCGACTTGGGGTGCAATTCAAAGTGACTTCCCATAAGGTCACTCATCATTGTTGTGCTCCACATTGAGCACGTTTAACTTCAGAGTTCTCACAAGAACTCCTCCATTTCACCCCAAAACGCGTCTTGTCAGTTAAGGTTGGTTTCCTTCTTATGAACCATTGATATCTCTCGTGCTTTGTCGATGTGGAATTTGCCTAAGGTGTTACATACACCCCCCCCCCCCCCAACCCTCCCCTTTGGGACTCAAAGTCCTTGTTGAGGTTTGCCCCACCATCGTTCAAGAGTGACGCGGAGAGGCTCTGATACCACTTGTAACATCCCAAACCTTTTCCTGATGAAGATATTGTTCGCTTTGGGCCTAGACTTCTCACGGTTTTTCGACTTGTGGTGCAATTGAAGTTGACTTTCCATAAGGTCACCTATCCTTGTTGTACTCTAAACTGAGCACGTTTAACTTCGGAGTTCTCACAAGAACTCCTCCATTTCACCCCAAAATGCGTCTTGTCAGTTAAGGTTGGTTTCCTACTTATGAACCATTGATCTCTCATGTGCTTTGTCGATGTGGGATTTGCCTAAGGTGTTACGTACACCCCCCCCCCCCCCCCCCCCCCCCCCGGGACTCAACGCCCTCGTTGAGGTTTGCCCCACCATCGTTCAAGAGGGACGCGGAGAAGCTCTGATACCACTTGTAACATCTCGAACCTTTTCCCGACGAATATATTGTCCGCTTCGGGCCTCGACACTCACGATTTTCAACTTGGGGTGCAATTCAAAGTGACTTCCCATAAGGTCGCGCCATCCTTGTTGTACTCCACATTGAGCACGTTTAACTTCGAAGTTCTTCCTCCATTTCACCCTAAAAGGCGCCTTGTCAGTTAAGGTTGGTTTCCTACTTATGAACCATGGATCTCTTCTGTGCTTTGTCGATATGGGATTTGTCTAAACTATTACAATAAAGTTCATCACCTTCATAAAAAAAACAATTCATTAAAAAACATTAAGAACAACTGCAAGCTGTTGGTAATAGTAAGGATGTTGGTGGAACACTTTCACTGGGTGCATCGGAAAGCATTTGTTAAAATGACACTGAAAAGAAGATGCGAGATCTGCAATTGCAACTAGCATGACTGCATCCCATGGAGTTGGGGCAGGGCCTGTTCCTTCATAAGAAATGAAACAATTAACGTTTCTTTTTTGCTTTGGGGACCACTGGTTAGCACCAGCCACATCCAAAGTTATTATCCTCTTCTAATCCCGTCAAATCCTAAAACCACCCTACCAGCTACAAACTGCCTACTACCTGGTTCCTACATGCTGCTTCCCCGGCTTTACACAACCATCTATCTCAATCAACAACTGTTTACATATTTACACATCAGAGAATTAACATGAAATGGTAATTTATGCTCTCCTATACCACTCTCAAATTGCGGTGTGATTGCTATTGATATCATGAGTCACCCGAAAAAGGTAGCTTCTCAACTAAGGCATCTTGTGAATTGTGATTGGCATGAAGCAGAACCATTCACTGCCTCGTTTATGCGGCTGAACACTAACTCGAGTGGGACACAAGCTATTGCAGCGCCTTTCGCCTTCTCCACTAAGGCAGCTTCTCTCTCTTCCACTTTCTTCCCTGTGAGTGAAGAAAGCTTCCTGATCTTTTTAGACAACAACCCGGATTTCCTCAACTTGCTGCATTTCCTTTTAAAGCGCCTCTTTCTTGACATTTGCTTGCCACCAGGTCTCTCGCCACTACCACCAGAGTTTTTCCTAACCAATTCAAGAGCTCCACCAATGGCTGCTGGAGTCGCTACAGCAACAGCTGATCCCGTTGTAGTAGATCCCACCATAAGATCACAAGCACCTTCGCCCAAAACCTCAACCATCAAAGGGTGACCTATAATGGCTTTGCCATTGAACTTGCTCATCAATGAAACTAACGGAACATGTTGTGGCCGGTAGTTGGATCTCACTTCCAGCTTCACGTCATAGAGTTTCTCATCGCCAAAGACTTTCCTGACAGGAAAGTCAGCTGATTCGTATCTGGAGTTGAGCATGAATCGTGATTGACGGTATGGAAGTGATCTCTGAGGCAGTAAAGCATAAGACCGGTTCCAATCCTGAAACCCATCGAGCTCGTCTTTTGCCAGAAAACCGAGAGAAGCATTGCTGGAAGTTTGATCGAGTCCTTCCGAGTGGTCCATAATTACTGGGTAATAGGCAGGAGTTTCATCATCCAAGTCCATGTATTTTCGGGAGGAAGCTTGTTTTCCATGCTTTGTGTGTCGGGAATTCCTCTTTCCTTTTAGTTGCCATTTTGAAGTACCTTGCTCCATCTTTTGGTTGCTGATGTTGTTCGCTGCTACCGAAGGTGTGGGACCAGACTCATTTTGCAAAGGTACGGCTCCTGCTAGACAACTTGGACCATAATGCCCAACTGGTACACTGACTAGATGCCTTTGGGTTGAAGATGAGCCGAGTGTTGGTGAAAGACCTGAAGAATTCATAAAACAAAGCTCAGCAGTCAAACAAGTTATAGTGATCCTGGACATATTAGAAAGAAAGTAACAATAGAAACACCTAGCTAACTAAACAATTTACAACTGGTATATTTAGAACCTACACGTATGAAAGTCGGCATCTGATATTCAGCAAGCCCCTTCAAGACAAGAATATCAGCAGTCAACTAATCTGAACTGTGTATATATCAACAAACCCTTCATGAAAAAACAACTGAAACTAAATCCTCCAGCTTCAGAAGTAATTCTCAAGTGAAAACCCCATAAACGGCTGCAGGGAGTAGCAATTTGACCGACAGTACTCTCCAAATGTAAAGACTACCAAAGTGGTCCGTCAGACACCTTAGTCACTGGTCAACAGTAAAGACAATCAAGAAGGAAGGAGCATCCTCTGGGTGCATATATGCATAGAGAACGAAGACAGCAAAAGCTGCGACCGGCTAGAAGAGAAAGTCTAAAAGCATTGGAATTTGGACTGCATCGATCAAGCATACCTGCAAATGGTACATCATACAACTGATTTGAAGAGCCATCCAAAGTTAACTCTTCTGCAATAGTTGCATCATTCTCTTTCACCACCTTCGCGGTGAGGGAACCATTACAAGCAGCGTGTTCAGGAGGACTCAGGGAGACGGCGCCATTGTCGCATGAAACCCCAGTGCTATCGGAGTTGTTATTATTACCCACCCATGGACCTTTTTTAGATTCATTAGATTCCAAACAAGAGATCTTGCCGTCCGACAACCCTTCAATAGGTGAAACACTTGTGCTGGGAACTTGGTCACAGCTAACTGGAACAGACACCATGACCGTACTCTCAAGAACTTTAGTCAAAGGCCTGCGACGATTTCTCCTTTTCAAGAACTCATGGACGTTTGCCACTTGTGATCTCTTTCTTTTCAAGGATGGACTGTAAACTTTGGTGCCAGCATTTACAGGACTGCCATTATCAGCCTTAGAATCTGACATTCCCATGCCAAGGTCCTCAAGTCCTCTCATACGTTTTGTTCCTGCTGTCCCATCATCCTCAGAATCGTTTGGCGTCCTTCTCCTCTTAGCTAATCCAGCTGACACTTTAGATGCATCAACAACATGATTCGGCTCTTCAAAAGATATTCCAGATTGAGATAATTCTGGTGCTGAATCTATATCTGAACCCAGACCAGAATCATTGGCATCACTAGCTTCATCAATGACGTTCTCGTCTACTTTGCCAGAAAGAGACATGCTGGTTGATTCTCTGGCTGGCTCTAGATTATTTGATGCAGACACTACCTCAAGTTGATCCCTTTCCAGTCGAGCATTCTCAATCTCAAGAGCATGGAGAATAGCATCTTCCCTACGAGCATATTTGACTGCTTTTCTATTGCCATTTGCTGCTGCTACCCTAGCTCTTTCGATGCATTCATCATATTCTCCACATCTAAATGCCTTCACCCTTTTGGATTTTTCAAGATTATACCAATCCCTATACCAATTAACAAAAGCGTCAATCAGCAAACGAGATAGCAAGTAAAAAAAAACAACAGGTAATGATAGTCGTCTGGCAACAAAGAAAACTTCAAATGTTTTCCAAAGACTATGTCCAACAGAAAGTTGGTGTTCCTTTCTCAAAGATAGAGTCCAGAATCTTGGAATCCATAACGCTGGGTAACTAAAGAAAGCCCACTTTCATTGCCGATTGAATTTCGTGACAGATCTAAGCTCACTCACAAACCCAGGCATGGAAATTAAATTAGTTTAGTAAGGCATGCAAGATATAGATTTCGTTTCACTTTCCAAGACAAAGAATCATGAAAGTCCCTTTCCATTGTACTATCAAAAGGCAGCCACTTAAACAGATGGACAACACAAGGACGCGTACTCCTACAAATATCTCATTGTAGAACGCCTAATATCAAGGTTCGAAAAGGTGCTAAGCGTAAGGGGGGCGTTGAGCCGTCGCCTAACCCGTAGCATGCCTAGGCGCAGAAGCAAAAATAGCAATTTATACTACATGATGAATGAAAAAACAATTTACAGCACTTCCCAACTTCAATTCAAATTATTTTCAAAATATTAATACGTAACAACAATAAAAATATATTACAATTTCATAGAATCATAGCTCATAGCTCACAAAATTCTTGAGCTACTGAAAAGATTGAGACAGAAGATTGTGTTTGTAGACGTTGTTAATTTCCCCCTCTGATATTGACTGCCTAGCTCGATTTAATTATGTCTAGGTGACATCTAGGTGTCGCCTTACTCAGTCAATGTGTTCTCAATACCTAATTCACTACAGAACCCCTAGGCAAAGCGTATTGGTGCCTAACGCCTGAAGCTTAGCGCGCACTTTTGAACCATGCTTAATATACACAAATAAGAAAAGCATAAAGAGAAGCACATGATCATGCAGAGCATCAGCACACATATTAACATGCATGCCAAAACATATCAAGGATATGCTTCTATGAATACAAGGCAAAATATAAGAAGAAGGTGATTATAAAATATACAAAGAAAAGTTGGTCACTATCTAAACTAAGAACCTCCAATCAACTCCTAGCACATGAGAAACTTGATTTTTGAAGAATACACAGTTAGGCAGAAATATGGATACTGACAAGAAATGAGCTGTGTCTCCTAGCTCTAATGGATTGTCCAGACCAACATATGCTATTATTGACAGCAGAATGCAACAAACTTCTCAAGTACTTGAGATTGTTGAACTCATGGTTTTAAGAAGACGACCCAATTCAGAGGTCATTAAGGGGCGAACCTCTCCGTGAGAAACTAGAACTTCCAGCTGCAGTAACATTGGACCAGATCACAAACAAGTAGCTCTTAGACATGTAGCAAGCAATATAATGCCAAGGCAAAAGCAAAAAAAAAAAAAAAAAAAAAAAAAATTAGAAGCAAGAAACCACGAGGTTATCCTACTCGAATTTGTCAAGTATTTGAGGAATTAATTAACCTGACATGCTAATGATTCTTATGGAGAACAGCACAAGCAGTGCAAGTACAAACCAAAACGAGCATTGGTTCAAGACTGCATTAAGCACCTAGCAAATCAAAACAATGAACAGTGAAACACAGACATTTATGTGGCTACTCAACATTTTACCACTGATACGTTTAAGAGCTCAGTTTTTGAAATACAGCAGAAACTTGCAAAAACGAAAAATCAATCCACCCAATCACCTAATTACATATAACTCACAGGCTTGCAGTACTTTGTCAACTCAAAATATGGAGATTAGATAAAGGTCGGCTGAAGAAGAAACAGAAGGCAAATGTCACTCACACACTAGCATCATCCCGGCCAAGAAGCTTGACTGGAGTGCCCGATCTTGGCGAAACCAAATTACCCTCCGCAATCTCGTCCATACTCATAATCCGACCAGGCCACCACGACCCGTTCCTCCTGCGAACCCAAACTAAACCGCCCACCGACGCATCAATGGCTTTTGCGTTGCTGTTGTGGAGTTCATCGGAGGCAGAGCTACCCATCTCAGAAACTTAGCTCAGGTATCAGTATCAATTGATAACAGCTAATAAATCCAAAAGTGATGGTTCTTCAGGTATCAGCATCAGCTGCAAGTTTCGCGGCCTCCATGGAGGAAACCCACAAATTAAAAAGAAGCCCTTCAATACCTGAAAAGCGGGAAAAAAACAACACCCAACAAAATGATCAATATAGATAGAGAAAACGCATCACTGCATGTAGCCAAAAGCGCCATCAAAGCTGCATAACTTCGTCAAATAACCAATCCAGAAATGAAGAGAACAACAGAAAATTTGCATTAGGGAAAACCTCACAGTAAAAGTAGTAGAACGAAGGGAGATCTACAGAAGAGCAAAGGAGCCCAGTGGAGATCTGAACTGGGTTCGTAAGTCGAGTTTAATAGCTGGGCTGCTGCTGTTAACAGTGAAATTCGAAGAACCTGCCATCCCTCTGTTGTTTTTTTCTTTACTGGAGTGGGAAGAGTAGCGATTTAAGGTGGGAGCTTCCGATTCCCCTTTTTCTTAGTCGTCTTTTTTTCTTCACAAAGTCTCAAGAGCTTCTGCTTTCATCTTTTAGGATTAATTGAAAATTTGACGTTTATTTTGCCCAACCATCCACCCTATGAAGAAAGCAGCAGAAGAAAATGGAGATAGCTCTTTGTGCAAAGGAGTGAAGGACCGAAAGCACATTTCAGTATCTATTGATGTTTATAAGATAAATACATATATACCAAACCTTTTATTTGTAAATAAAATAATAGTCAAAGTTTCTGAAAAATAAAATAATAGTAAATAGTTAACTTTCCATCCAATTGACCATTAATTGACACTCTGAAATGGCAATTTAATTGCTGAGTTGGACAAATCTTGATAACGCAACAAACAATTCATTGTTTAACTGTATTTCATTGTAATTTAGTAATTTCAATTTTATTATTTATTAATATTTAAAACAAGAAACTAAAAAAAATGAATCTAACATCCCCAGAAATTTCATAGGCGTATGGGCATCCCTTCCCCTACATCTCCTCCTTCGCTCCAATGAATCACAGCGTCGTCCACGCTGTCTGGATCCAACAAGCCATGCTTCAATCGCTCCCTCCCCGGTGGTTGGATCCCCTTGAGCGCGAGAGGGGAGACTCGCGGCACGCTGGTGATTCTGACGGGACTTAAGGCCGAATAGGGTATTGTCGTATTGGACTGGTACTAGAGGCAGAGTAGGTCAGTTAGAGTAGGGTTCATGAAAATCGATTTGGGGGAATGATTCGGGCCTAATTGTACACTTTTTATCCCCGATTCTTTTTGACGTTTGTTGCAATTGAACTCCAAAAAGGTTGGTTTTAGGCAAGGTTGCTTGTGTTTCAGTGCCTAACAGGTAAAACCAAATCGGAGTCGAAAGTTGGTATAAAAGGAGTAAAGACCGCGCAAAAAGGTGGAGACAGTCGCTGTTCACGACCTTACGTTGGAGTTCACGGTCTTATAGGACCGTGAACTGGAGCCATGACCCGTGAACCAAGGAGCGTCCAGAGGGGGTTCACAGGTTGCTAAGACCGTGAACCCGAGCCATTGAAGCAGTGCGTTTTGGCCTCAACACTAAGTTCACGAACGCGTTTCAATGTTCACGACCGTGAACTGGGCGCGATCACAACTTAAAAGGCCAATTGAAAGGAGAAAGAAGAGAGAGATAAGCTACAACGAACCTTCTCTGGTGTGGTTTTCAGCCAATTTTCACCTTCCTCACCCTCACCCTCACCTCCTCCTACATCCAACTTGAGTCTCCATGTCAGTTTTCAGCTCTACCTTATTTATTTTGGGAGAAACGGATTAGGTAATGAAGTGAGGAGAATTTTGGTGAATTTAATATTGACCTTAGAATTAGGGCGAGGAATGAATTAGGGTGATTAAATGATGTTGCTTGAGATTATTTGAGCCTTGGTGGGCATGTTTTAATTCGAATAGCTCGTATTTGCAAAATTTTCCCACCAAGTGCTATTTGTTGAATGATGAGAAATGTTTTGATTAAGTTTTGGTTGGTAGCCACCGTGTCATGGTTTGGGTTTGAATTCTTGTGTGAGATAATCCGTGACCACCTAGAACCATGCCTTGGTGTGCTTATGCTTAATTGTTTTGATTAGCATGGATCCGTACTGGAAATATAAGAGTGGGGGAAATCATTTTCCTTCAAGGAGCGCGTGGGGTAGAGTACCTTGAGGGGGTCCGACCCTCAAGATTCATGAGGCCAGTAGTTGACCCGGCCCCAGTGGAGCCAGATGCAGAGGGACCACCTTCAGAGCAGCCACCTACTTGACCTCTCGGCCCCGCCAGCGCCTAGTACCACCACCACCAGCACCACCACCACCATCTGGTGCCAATCCCCTCATCCAAAGGATGGATCTTCTTGAGACCCACGTTGTGGGAGTGACTTCCTGACTCGACCGGTAGGCCGACCTACTTGAGAAGTTGGCTCGTCGCTAAGGCCGACAATGAGATATGTGGCATCGCCGATTCCTTTCGCCCCACTACTCCACTTGGAACTCTGAACTCTTTTGTTTTATTTTTCTTTCTTTTATTTTGTGTGTGTGATCATAAACTACTACTATCGTATCGTGATGTGTAATAACCTTGCCTCGAGCGTGTCGTGTTGTGTTTATGTATGTGTGTTTTTTGTCTTCTCCTTGAAGCTTCAATCTCCTACCCCGGAAACAATTCCAACTTTCACTCACCAAGCAAAGCGGTAACATCGTTCTACCCCTATCTTACGCCATTGAGGGCAATGTCGAAATTAAGTTTGGGGGGGGGGGGGGGGTAGTTTATTCTTATGCTTGTGTGAGTGTGATTGATGGTGCTTGGACCTCATTATGTGCTTGCCACCACCCAAAAAGCATTTTCCCCATGTCCAAGGCAATTGCCAGTCATTAGAGGTTGTCGCCATGGTGAAGAGATGATTGTGCCGAGTGTTGATGATTGTGCACATTCTTTGCACCAAAAAGGTCCCAACCCCACTGGTTAAGAGAGTGAGTGATTCATTCTTTCTTTGCATGTCATGTAATACCACGGTGAGGACCTTTGTTGCCCATTCGTTTGTTTCTTGGACTTGAATGTTATGCATGATTAGTTGTGGTTGATAAGTGATCTTGTTGAGACTTGCATTTGTAACACCCTAGCCGGGTACTACTTTTACTAAATGCCCTTGATAAATAAAATACTCAAATCTTAAATTACAGCGAGAAAAATTTTCATAAATAAAATACTGAAAACACGCACTTGTAGTTCAAAGCAACGCCCTAACACATGGGCAACTCAATACTTAAAATCTCAAAGGATCTCCATTCTATACTAATAATCATAAATGTAAATAACTAATAATCTCCAATGTTGTTGCTACTGAAACCTTGACTAAGCATCCTTTGTGACGCTTATACTTCCCTCCTCTAGCTGGCTGTCCTCGAACTCATTGCTCACTAACTGTTCCTCTAGCTCCTCCTCTAGCTCTTCAAACTGGTGAGTGAGATGGGGTCAGTCTACGCCCTTATGTTTAACATCTTATTAATACTTGATCACTTTACTTAACTTAGTAGAAGTTGTTTTGTACTTCCACTATTAAAAATCTTGACTCTTAAAACTGTACTCTTAAAGCTCAAATCTCCACTTAAATTCTTGACTGACACAGGGATCCCTCACTAGCTAGTCCGGTTGCCAACTCATACGTATGAGAAGCCATCCACGCTTTCCTTAAACTTAAACTTATCGTGGAAGGCTCTTCTTCCACGATTCTCAAGAGCATAACTGCTGCTCAACTTAAATATCTCAAGAGCATAACTGCTGCTCTGCCTCAAAGATCTCAAATGGCAACGGACTAGCGCTAGTGACTAAAAACACTTAAAACGACTTCACCTTCTTGAAGGTGAATTATTTCTTAAAAAGAAAACGTGTTCTTAAACTTCAACTTACTTGTAAAGAAAGCATGCACTATAATATGTATAACTAGAAGCATAAATCACACGCAATAACATGCATCATATAAACACACAAAGGCAAGTATGGCATATAGCAATCAATCACAACAACTGAAATACCGTAAGGCATAGAATTTACCCCCTTTACACTCACCTTAGTTATCCGTCGATGATCCTCGATCGGTGTTATAGGAGATTGCCCATGTCTCCCCTTCTCTTATTGGATCACCATTCCATTTGCCCATTCAACTCTTTTGCTTGTGCCGCCCACATATCTTTTATTTCCGAGAACCACCTTGCGGAGATGACTAAGAACAATTTCGTTCCTTGAAAGAGAGACCAGCTTCCTCTCTCCATTATCCCCAAAGATACGTTCCCATTCCATGCACAAAAGTCCAAAATTGTGATAGATATTAATCACAGTGATGCACTAAACGTATACCCCACTATACTGACTCGGAAATTCTTAATCTTTCATCAAGCTATTGTCAGAGTTCCCATTTTGCATCCCTTCCACCATTTTCACTAACTCAGCAAGCTATCCACGCAGCCATATCAATTATAAAGCCCTAGTTTATTAGTCCACTAATTATTCACTTAATTGACCCTCCTTGATAACCCAACCGTCATCGTCCCACAGCAGAGAGTAATAACCCACTCCCTATGCAACTCCAAAGTTCCTAAATCCCTAGCCGACCCTAGAATTGCCACTGAGCAATGATAATTAACCCAAATCTCTACACGCCCTCATGTTTAGTTTTTTTTTTTAAATCCCCACAATATACCTCCACGATCACAGTAAGAATATTATTTACCTTGGCTCATATAGTCATTCTTTCTTTACACCTCCGCACCGGTTGGCTTCTCACACTCCATTGAAGTCGTGGCTCTCCCTGGGCTTAATCCCATTTACATGTCTCTTCCCGACATCCAGACACATCACTAACGAGATTACCTCGTCCTAACCACCGCCCGGAGGGATTTCGACACCTGCATCCCAGCTTCCTACGTACCCGTCCCCTTGACTCTCTTCGATACCTTCTTCTTAGT